GCTTACGGTCTGCTCCTTGCCCAGTGGTATCACCCTGGAAACACGAGTGAACATAGTAACACAGAGCAATGGGATTTTAACAATAATTTAAAAAACAACAAAAATAACCTCTTTATTTTATGCAATATTTACCGCAGATCAACATGTCTCACAAATAAAACAAACACTGCGATGTACACTCATGGGCCACTTAATTAGGTACACCTGTTCAAGTGCTTGTTAAAGCAAATATCTAATCAGCCAGTCACATGGCAGAAACTCAGAGAATTTAGGAAGAAGGCCTGGTGAAGTTCAAACTCTGCATCAGAACTGGGAAGAATGGTGATTTAAGATGCTTGGAATGTGACGTGTTTGTCGGTGCCAGATGGGCTGGTCTGAGTATTTCAGAAACTGCTGATCTGCTGGAATCTTCCCACACAACCATACGCCCAACATTCAGATGGTAGGGTCAGAATTTGTCATAAACAACATGATCCATCCTGCTTTTTCAGGCAGCTGGTGGTGGTTTCTTGGCATACTTTGGGCCGCTTAGTACCAAATAAGCATTGTTTAAAAACTTTAGCTTACAATAAGTATTGTTGCTGACCACGTGAATCCCTTTAGGATCACAGTGTGCAGGACCCATCTTCTGAGGGCTGCTTACAACACGTCATGAGGCTCAAATAATCTCAAACTGAGTTCTTGAACATGAAAATGAGCTGTACTTAAATGACTTCAGAGTCCCCAGATCTCAATCCAACAGAGCACCTTTGAAATGTGCTGGAACAGGATGTGCAGGGACTTCACCTGGTTTCAACTGCAACACTGTAAATAATAATTGTGGCCATAAATTCTGGCGAGGTTTCACCACTGTCAGCAGAGTTTAGACTCACTTTAATGTGAAATCAATTACTGCCCAGCTATAAGGACTGTGCACGCAGCACAATGGCAGCAGAATGCACTAGAATCAGATGAAGATCTCTATTAATCTCTTCAGCTGGAGAAGAGAAAAGCTCATTACTGATGTGAAAAGGCAAAGCCGGGTGCCTCCCATTCATGTTTGGCTCTGAGAGCATTTCATTTAATGCCACGTCCACAGCTGCAAACTGTTCACGAAACTCAAATCTTAGACATTTCTTTTCTTTTATGAAAACACAACATGCTCAGGACGTACAAGGCTAAAACATTTGACTACACTTCACACTAGGACCTTGGAAAAATCCAACTGGGAGCATTAAATTCCAAACAACACTATAAACAATCGTGACCCAAATAAATCTTTTATTCTGGATATATAAAATATTTAGATTAGCTCTCATGCACGATTGAAAACTATAAAGAGAAAAAACACAAAATGAAATGTGCGGGGTTGGTGGGGCCATGCTCCTACTTTGAAATTGTGTATTTATGCAGATCCATCGATTCATGTGACAGAGTGAGAACGAAACAGTTAAAAACTGACAAATCCTCCTCACTAATGCTGCTGCTTTCAGATGCCCGCTGCCCCAGAGGAGACCACATCCTTCAACATCTAATGGAAACATCCTGTTTTATTTAGGATGCGGCTGTGATAGGAAGGGCTGTCTTAATTTTCTAAAGTAGTTTCTGCTGCTCAGTATTCAGCAGATCCATCTGCCTGCTTGCTGATTTTGCCGAGCAAAATGCAACATCTTTCTAAACCCACTCAAACACACACTCCCCTATCCTGTTATCCCCCCTCTCCATGTCCATTTCCAGGCCACATTATCAACATGGCCTTACCTGGCTCCTGACACTTGTCGGGTGAACAACATGGATCCTAGCTGAGTCACCGCCTTGTCGCTGTTGGCCTGGAGACCATCTAGAGACATGGCTGGAAGAGAGAGGCGCATAGTGATGTCAGTAAACATCTGAGACCAAACGCAAAGCCAGAAAGACTTATGTCATTTCAGAAAAGCAGAGTAAGGATCAATTGATACGTAACCAGCACTTTGAGCTTACCCAGAGAAATGGGGTTGTGCGGGGTGTGAAGCAACCTCTCCCCGTGTGCAGAAGCCAGACTCTTCAGCTGCTCAGCCAGGAACGAATAAATCTCCTGCACACCATGCCGATACACACAAGAAGGATGAAGACAC